CTGCAGACCCTGGATGAAATGATGGCAAACTTCAGGGTTTCTACTTGACCAGAGTTGCTCTTCTGGCAACAGTGAAAATCTGAGACAGGATTTAGCCAATTCGGTGTATGAAGTCATTGGCTCTTCTGCATTTTGAGGATCTATCAGACCTCCTTGTTAAAAAAAAAAAAGAAGAATTAGCTCAAGGGTAGTTAAGTGGTGGGGGAAAATCCCCCATATATAAAAGCAAATGAGTTTTTAAAGAATAGAAAATAATCTGTAAGATAAATTACTTCTGAATTATCCAAGTGAAAATTAAACTTAGCTCTTGTTAACATTTCTACAGAAACATGCATTTTGATTAAGTCAAACAAACAACAGGAAAAGACCTTAAAAGCAGGCATAGTCGTTTATCTGTATACTCACAAATACTTTTCTTTTTTCGATTATCAATATTTTTTTCTTGCCTTGTTTGCATCATTTTTTTTAACTTTATTTCCCATTATTCATAGAAAGGCTTTCTATCTAAGGCTGAATTGAATTACTGCTTACTTCCCTCTGTAAAGTCACTTCAGCAAAGAGTTACTCTTTGGAGTTAGGTCCTCATCTCCAATCTACATCCCTCAGCTAAAGCAGTCTGTCTTTGGCTGCCCCATCACCACCCTAAGGCACGTAGAAAGAGGGCTCTTGCTTTGCCCAGTCTGTTCACCGAGCTCCTTTTCAAATTGGTGAGGAGGGAGGTTTGTGGAAGGGGGAACTAGATGTATCAAGCAACTCTGTGAAGCCAGTGTAATTTGTAAATTTGCCATAAAGTTTTAAGTGAGAGTTGGAGTGGGGGTTTTGAGGGTTAGCATGCTTTCAGAAATCAAAAGGAAAATGGGAGTTTTTAAGGGCTCTGATACTTAAGATTTTTTTCCTAAATTTTACCAAAGCTATTAATTAGCAATTAACATAATTAAAATATATTAAAATATTCATGACAATATAGTCATTTATATACTTAAACACTTAAATATATAAATAGGCAAAACACACATAACAGCACTTATCAAATAATACTACTTAATATCACCTGGGAGTTCATTTAGATTTGAAGCAAGTGAAATATACAGTTCCTAGGAGAGTGCACCTTTATCTGCCCATAAAGAGTGACAAAAATCACTGCTGTAATTTATACTTTTTATTCATTATGGAAAGCTTTTATACACATGGTAGAGAGAAAGCCTCACTTCATTTTCTCAAACCAAAAAGATACTACCTAAATGCCTTTGTATAAAAGCTAATGCAACATGACAAAAATAATATCTTAGCCTTCAATGTACATTGAACTGGTAAAAGAAGTTAGGAACAGTTTGGCAAAGATAAAACGTAAAATTAATTTTCATGTTATTTTCTTTATGTGCACATTCATACAGGTAGACTTTGTCAGATACCTGTAGTAAAGAAGAACTTGTTCATGCATACAGAACAAAATAAAATAAGATTAAAAGCTCCAGGAAATCAGCCTGCTTCAAAAAACCATTAAAGTGTGCCTATCCCTGAAGCTTTACAAATGTGTTAATTGTCGTGTTTCAGTCATGTAAATATGTTTCAGCATAAAGTAACCAACATTTCCTGTTATAGAAGCAGCCCTATCTGGGGGTGTGGGGGTAGGGAGGGATGCAAGAGGACTAAATAACACACTGTAATGAAACCTGCCTTTGGGCAGCACATGCTTCGGTTCTGAATGCCCAGAAATACTTTACTGACACTCTAGGCTGCCTAGCAATGGGGATTTTCTAATTCTGGCTAGCTTGACAAAGTAAATACAACTATTGAACATAAGGCAGCTCCTAATAAAAAACAACAATTCCCCCTTGTAAACACCTACATTTGGCCCCATTAAAAATTCTTTCTTCATACCGAGGAACTAGCAGACCCTTAAATGTGGGGGTCTCAAAGTAACTAGAGAGTAGTTGGGAGATTTAATGCTGCCAGGATGTTTTACATTGCCATTTCCACCGAGCACTTCATACCCCATCTCAAGGCTTTGTAGAGTAATGTTCTGCATACACTGTGGGGCATTATGCAAGCAAACACATTGGCCATTATGCTCTGAGGACTCATTTGTGTACAGCCAAAAGGGAATCAACTCGTTCATGTATGTGTTAGACACAAATATATATGATTGCCACATTTCCAAGAGGAATGTTCATTGAAAGGTGCCAAGTTTGAAAGTTATTAATATTTAGTGGACTGACATTAACATGGTAACTTGAGCAATCTGGTGAACTGTCTGATTTCTAAATTCCCTGATTCCTGACTTTTCACATCGTAGCATTCCTCTATTCCATAAGCTGTGTATCAGTCAGACCTCTGCCAATCCTTAAATTGGATTGTGGATGTGCTGCAGGTTTTAAAATATCTAGGATTTAGGGATCAACCTCAAATGTGCACACATATTTGTCTGCTAACAGTTACTAAGTAGAAGCCTTCAGATTATAGTAAGAAGCAAACATTAGTTTGAATTCTGGTAGACAAACACAAAGATATTGTTACCTTTTGCCACCTCTAGAGTAGTTTCCGTATAATATACTTTAAAAGAAAAATGAGGATTAAAAAGGAATTCTAATTAGTAGTTTGAATTTCTAAAAGACTTTTTCAAGCTTAACATTCAGATCTAAAAACATTATATGTTCCTAAAAAATCTTAGTATTCTTAAGCCACCTGAGGGGTAGTACCCAAAATATTGCTCCTGAAATGTCTCCCCGCTTATGTTGGGTAGGAAAGGGGCTTCCTGGGCAACACAGGCTTGAAGTACCTGTTAAAATAACAGTCTATCCAAAGAAAGACCCCAATTCTCTTCCATTTACGGCAGTAGCAGCAGCCGACGCTAGATCTCAAGCCATCTCTCAGTTTGGCCCTGCCGAAGCTTCATTCAAATTCTACACACTCTGGAGCTTATATGCTCCTGCCTGTATTGTGTGTTCCAGAGCCATACAAGCCTTGGGTTAAGCAGCAGTTGGAGACCAGCAAAAATGTTGCCAGTGAGAAACCCAGCTACACAATTAAGGAAAGATGAGTACAGAAAAGTCAGTTGGGGAGATACCAAGCGACCCGTTGAGGCAACATTGCACAGTCAGAGGATCACAGGGATAGCAGTGACTGTGTGTGACTTATCCATCCCATTCCTTTATCCCAGACATGATGCTGCTGGGGGAAAGGGGGCTGGTCAGGGAGAAGGCATCTTTCACAGTGTTCTGACTATCCAAGTACGGTTTAACAATTCAAGCTGCATTACTCAACTATTACCTAAATGACTTTTTTTTTCAGTTCTACTCATTTTGGAGTATTAATGGGAACAAAATTTACAAAAAAATAGGAGAAACTAAAAGTAAAAGATACTGCTTTTAGTTTGCATAAAAAGTAAAACCAAGCCGAGCATGGTCGCTGACACCTGTAATCTCAACACTTTGCAAGGCCAAGGCAGGAGGATTACTTGAGCTCAGGAGCTTGAGACCAGCCTGGGCAACATAGTAAGATGCCCATCTCTACAAAAAATTTAAAATTTAGCCAGATGTGTTAGCACATGCCTGTAGTCTCAGTACTTGGGAAGCTGAGGCAGGACAGAGTGAGACCATGCCTCAAAAGAAAATAGGAAGGAAACCCATTTTAAGAATTCCAGGAATAATCTAGTTTGTTCTTTGTCAGTGCATAAAATAAGGGAGGAGAATAATATAACTCATACACACACATCTTAAATGTCTGAAACAAAGGAACATTGGGACTGAAACATGTGGTAGGTTTGTTGCTCTGTAGCCAAAAGATTCCAAGTCACATTTTAAAAGAATTACACTCAGCAAACCATCCCCACAAACAGTAGAAACTGCTACAGTTTCTCCTTCATGGACATCTCACACAAGGCTCAACTCCTACACCTGGAATCTTCTTTTGGGCAGTCACAAGATTAAGAACCACCACTCCCCACAGACAGTGGGAGTCAGTAGCTAGAATGTTTCTTCAGAATCAGAAGAAAGCAGAATCCAATAACCAGTATATATATCACTGTGGAGGGAATTCTGTCTTTTGTAGAATATGCATGTTTGCAGCAATTGTTGTTTTCTATTATTGCAAATGTCCATGCATGACTTTGTAAGGATATGGGTAAGATGGCCCTGGTATTCATAGAAATAAGCTCACATCGCTTCCTTGCTACCCCTTGCCCTTCAGGATTAGATCCAAGTCACTTACCACACTTTAGAAACTCTACAATATCTGACCACTGCCTACCCAGCCAAACTTCTCATAACCACTCCCCTGCTCATTGACTATTCCAGAAAAGCTGACTTTTTTTGTCTGCCTTTCAAGCATGCCAAACTTATTCCCACCTCAGGGTTTTTCTATTTTATTCCCTTTGCCTGGGACTTCTTTCCCTGGGTCTTATGAACCCTTCTCAAAATTTAGGTCTTAGCTCAAATATACTCTCCAGAAAGGCCTTCCCCAACTGAAGTAGTACTCCCAGCCAACATCATGTCACCATGTTTTGTTTCCTTAAAAGCACCTCTCACCATCTGAATTATTTTCTTTCTTTTTCTTTCTTTTTTTTTAAGACCAAGTCTCACTCTGTCGCCCACGCTGGTATATGGTGGCATGATCTCAGCTCATTGCAACCTCCGCCTCCCGGGTTCAAGTGGTTCTCTAATTCTCCTGCCTCAGTCTCCTGAGTAGTGGGGATTACAGACATGCACCATGATGCCTGGCTAATTTTTGCATTTTTAGTAGAGACTGTGTTTCACCATTTTGGCCAGTCTGGTCTCGAACTCCTGCCCTTAGGCCTGCCCTGGTCTCCTAAAGTGCTGGGATTACAGACATGAGCCACAGCGCCTGGCCTGAATTATCTTTTTTTGTTTGCCCTCCTATGTGTTGTCAATCTCGCCTTGAGTCATCTAAGTATCTGTGTATTGTCCCTCCTAATCTTGAGAGTTCCCTGAAAGCAGGTGTCTTGCCTGCCTGGTTCACACTATTTTGTCTCTAGTGCTTAGAAAAGTTCTGGCACACAGAGTATAAACTGAAGCCAAACTGCCCAAGTTCAAATTCCAATGAAATACACTGAAGTTGCAACCTCACTTCTGCTCTTTTCCCACAACTAACAGCACATGATCCACATGATCCACAACTAACAGCAAGGGAAGTTTGAAAATGAAGTTTTTATTCAGAATTGTTTTATATTCAAGGGTTCTGCTACTAAAGGAAAATAGAAGAGTAGATATTAGAAAAAAAATTATCAATCTCTGCCAAAGGTCACTTACTCCCTCTCCAGGCATAAATGAGGAATCCTACTGGCTAGAAACTGCAAAAATTCTCTGCCTTGGCAATCAAGGACTTTAGCCCAGTTTGTAGCACCCAGGTCTCTCTGGAAGAAACTCCTTCATCCATCATCCCTCGTATCCCTCTAGGAAGTTATTCCTTGTCAATTATCAGCCAGGGCTACACAAAGTCACCATTGGAGAGTATGCCCATTGGGAGCTCCACAGTTTTTACAGCCCACTTATTGACAGACTAGATTTGGGGACCTAGGATTACTGTAGAGGCTGAGTAATGATAGGCTTTTGACAAGGCTTGTGGTTTCTTTAGCAATACAGTTTCCTCAAGACTTAGAAGATTCACAGTCTATTTGCTTCCCTTTGGTTCCACATGTAAGTAATCACAGCCAAAGAGCTTGTCTAGGCATAGTTCTAGGGTTCAGTGGTAAGAAACAGATATCACCTAGTTATCTTATGCAGAGGGAAAATTTATAGAAGAAAATAGGGAATTAGTGAAATAATTGGAAGGGCTGAAAGACATTGACATCAAACTGGCCACCAGGAAAGCCACTACCTA